CATCCTGACCTCCTCACCACCGTCACTATCCTGACCATCATCTATATCCTGACTATCCTCACCTCATCATCATCCTGACCATCTTCACCTCATCATCATCCTGATCATCCTCAGCTTCCTGACCATTCTCACCATCCTGACCATCATCTCCATCCTAACCATCCTCACCTCATCATCATCTGATTCCTGACCATCCTCATCTCATCATCATCCTGACCATCCTCAGCTTCCTGATCATTCTCACCATCTGTCACGTTTGCTGTAAGCGATAGCACGGGAGCGCAACTGCGGAGGGGATATGATGGCGTTTATGGATATTTGGCTTCTCAGGCGTGATTCTCAGGCGTCACTCCCAGTCTTAAAGGGGAGTTTGAGACTCTTGCATCATAGCCAGGGTTTCAACAGAAATATTAAATGGGCTATTTCCTCATAGCACCATCTAAGGTTATGGTATAGGGATCAAAGGTGGGCTTATCTTCTTGGTGATGTAGTATGACTAAACTGGTGTCCCAATAAACATTAGAATCTCCCCACAAACAGGTATCAATTGTAAACAGCAGCACAATCTTGTATGGGTATGGCAGCTGACAGTTTGTAATAGGCTCCCAGTGGAGCGATACATGCTGTTTGGAGGCGTGGCAGAGCAGCGTGGTACAGGGTGTGGGTCCAGATGGAAGGTGGTCAGGCACTTGAAGAGTCGAAGTCCAGTGATGCGGGGTTCAGTAGTCAGCAGGCGTTCAGAGCCCAATTGTTGAACGCCATGCTGCTACAGCTGGGGCTTTAAATAGCCCCAGGATGTGGGAGGAGGCACCGGCCGGAACGAGTGGCTTCTGCGTTTCACCGTGGAACGCACGCCGCTCGCGTCACAACCAGGAAGTCGAGCGGCTTCCGCGTTCCACAGTGGAATGCGGAGCGGCCGTCATGGAAGCCGGCAGGACCGAGGCGGCCTGGCCCCGAGGGGAATCGTCACACCATCATGTGGTTCCTATAGATAAACAGCTAAGATGTTTACAATATCATTCACTGGTTCCCCTTTTGCAAGCATCCCACCTGTCTGTCATTTGGAGGGACTGTCCCTCATTAGAAACCAAATCCCTCTTTCCTCCTCAGTTGGTCTGATTTACAGATATCTATGAAAATTAAATTTTTTACTACCAAAAGTGTAATTCTGCACTGAAACATGTATCTTATAGTCATATAGCCACTTTGTGACGGGACGTACACTGTACGTCTCCCGTCACGAAGGGGTTAATTATCTTGCTTGATATTTGAAAAGCCAGAATAAAGGGAAATGAATGGTGGAAAAAAAGCAACCCGGGGTTTAACCAATCATTGTTAGAACATAAATTGTTAATGGTCCACATAACTGAGATTGTGGCAGAGGTGTGTCCATTCCCTAAATATCTTATACTGGAAGGTGTCCATCTTTCTCATATCAGAAAGTTGGGGTATGCTTTTGTTTTTGTGTGAAAGAAATATGGCTGCTGCCTTTGTTATCTAAAAATGCTAGTGTTGACAACAATGCTGTCCCATTGGGTTGTGTACTTTCTGATTCACTAACCAGGAACAAGTACATTGAGCAGAAAAGCCACAGAAAAGTCAGACCTCCGTACTTGATAAGTTGTTCCAGTACAGTGCCACCAAGTCCTGAAACAAGAGTCTCAGCATGACATCCAGGCAGCTACCATTTTCAGTAGCAGAAGTCAGCAAGGACACGGCAAGTGTCCTATTAAGCTGCACTTCTTTGTGCTATGAAAGCTGGAATGTGAGTACATTTTGTGATGAAATGTTCTACATTCCCATGCTTGAGAACAGGGGGCTGTACTAGCTTCTATTTGTGTTCTGAGTACTAGGGATAAATTTAGCATCTCACAGATGTGCCATGGCAGACTGCTATTATCCCTGTCTGCTTTTAGCATTCCATTGTTAGAAGCCAAACATTTCGTTATTGTTGTTTCTTTAGCTCTCTCTGTGTTTATGGAGGTACCTGGGCTGTGGATAATAGGACATGCTTACACAATAGTATTTTTTAACACCATGTGAACAAGACAGAAGTAAGCAGCAATCCCATATACACTGACTGCATTCCATATAGCATCCTAGGGCTCTATAACTTATTTCAGCAAGCCTTGCCATTTAGACATGTTACTGTAGTAAAGCTGGTTTTGAAATCTCCCCAATTATGGGTTGTACATTCAGTTGGGGCATGAATTAACTTCCATTCTACTTCTAACTTCCATTCTTCTGAGTTTCTAGCTACTAATGACATACCCAATTATCCTTTGGTAATCCAAATAACCAATCACTGAAGACAAGAAGAAACAGGTTCATTGTATAGACCCGCCAAACTGAAATAACGATTTTAGACAGTTATTCATTTGACATGCGCATCAAGTCATAAAAACATTCAACTCGCACATAAACAGAGGTTAGAATAAGGCAACTGAGGATATGAGACCTGTGTGTGATTTATCTGTGTTGTACATTTTAGTGCATTGACAAAGACAGTTATCATTACGTAAATGTCATAATAAATCACTCTTATGATCATAAAAAGGAAAAGTCATTAGAAATTTCAAAAGATAAATTGAAGGCATGTTTCTATGAAATGGAGCAAGTGCCATACTTCTTGTTTAGAGTTTACATTTTTTTTTTCTCCAGATTTAAGCGTGAAGATAAGTGAATAGCATTTGAATACATGAATATAGACTTTTTTGGTAAAAGGTAGATTACAATATGCTATTAAGTTACATAGGTAAATATTCTGTTATAATAATTCAATATGTAACCACAGATGATCCTTTGCAATTGCAGTGTGGGGTATTATGTGTAACATTTGGTAAACAGTGGGATAAATTGAAGGCCACACTTTGATTGTATAACTTTGCTTGAGTGCCAACATAAGGCCCCATTTACTCCTGACCTGGAAGGTTTTCCACACCCAGTCAGTAAGGTGAAAAACCTCTCCATTTAGTGAACTTTATTGATCGGCAAGGGTTGTGCCTTGTTTATCTCACTTGGATCATTAAAGTGTAAAGCTGACCATACACTGCTAGATCTTCATCAGCCAGCCTGTGTGCTGAACTAAAGAATTCTAACAGATTCCTCCATCCACACAAAACCTGCTGTGGCTATTGTATTTTGACAGCAGGATCCCACTGCTGTCAGAACACATGAACAGGGCCAGCCCAAAGTCGCTCTGTGTATGGCCAGCTTAAGCCCATGCATACATTTTTGTTTCAGATATAGCAGGGGCATTCCGAGGCCGGGTGTCACCCGGAGCAGATACTGGGTGACATCCCCCGCCGTCATTGCGCATGTGCAGCCATCTTATTGATACCTACCGGCGGACATCTTGGTGATGGACGCCGGCAGAGAAAGGAGGGGTTGTTCAGCCGGCGGGATAAGGCATGTCCCAGGGTCCTTTCCGCTCTCCTAAAACTCTTGGGCTCGCGGTTCATGACCGAGCATCCACCTTTTCAGAGGGGGTGACACCAAAATGACTGCCAGTCATTTTGGTGTCACCCCTCCAATGGTGTCACCTGGGTGCAAGCCGCACCCCCCTTGTGACACCACTGAGATAGAGTGGGGAAGAATCAGAACTCCTGCTGGGTTTTTACTGCTATCCAGGGCTCTCAAACAGAGATTTCCCCCACTTTCTGTCATGCTGTCAATGGGTTTACCAGACAGAAAATAAGCAAGCTAGGAGCAGATCTTGTTGCTGGAGAGATATTAGAGGCCAGAAAGTATATCGGTTCACTGCAATAAATGTAAAGGCCTATACCCGCACACTTCCTAACTGCCCCTCACGTGGAGGGACTGACTCTCTTTTGGAACCAAACCTTCTGTCTCTGTTCCCTCCTCAATTGTTCCTCTCTTTGGTATAATGTATAGAGCTCTATAAAAATTTACTATTTTACTACAAAAAGTGTTGTTCTTCATACCTCAGTTCATACTATCACTATAGTATTTCAAAAAGCTTGTATAAAATTAGAAGTTACAGCAGAGAAATAGTCATACAGCAGATATTCAACATAGTCAAAAGACATAAAACGATTAGATGTTATACATTTTAAGAGGGAGGGTCTCCATCAAAATGAAACCATCCTTAATTAGTCAAGATACACAAATGACAATTCAGCTTAGAAATGGAAAATATAAAATAAAACAACTGGGGGCATCATTAATTCTGATGCCGACATTAGCTTATGGTCTATTAAGTAACTATATAATTAACTAAACAGAGCATTACTTGTAATGAATATAAACTATATATTGTTCTCATATATATATTTAATTAGTACATGTTTATCAACTCAGAAGATCAAGAAGCTATGATAGTCAATGCATGATTACTATGTTGTCTGCATACATGATTAAAACAAATGATAGCATTTGTTGTAAATAAAAGGAAACCAAATATGACATGCACAATTTATTTTCTCAAAACAATTTTAATAATTATTTTATTATGTCAAATATAAGATCAGCTCTCACTAAGATTCTGTATAAACCATAGTTAGTGGATATCTCATGAGCTAGTTTATTAGGAATAAAATGCTAATTCTGGATTGATGCCATCTGTTTGACCGCTTCAAATAGCTGTCAGTTTGCCAACTGTTTCTTCCCAAATAGTCAGTGGTACCCTTATCTGGAGAGTGCAGGGAGCTAAATTGACCCTTCAGGATATTCACCATACTAATTTACTGGATCTATTAGAGAGGAAGTGCAAACCATATTTTTAATACATGTAGAAACTGGTCAAATAAAAAAAATATGATTTTTTCAACATATATAAATATGACCTGGAAGGTTGTAGGTGATTGATTTAATATACAACTCAATTCCTAGTATTCTACGTAGCCAATACAAGTCTTAATTCACTGACCTGCAATGCTTGTGTTGTATTGCATAATAAGTTTTATTTTAATTCACATGATTTTTAGCTCATAATGGTTGTCAGTAATGAAAAATGAAAAAAAAAAAAAATCATTTTACAGTATGTATGAAGCCTAATCTAATATATATCGCCATTGAGCCCATTTTTATTGTACAGTATTGCACTGTCACACATACTACCTGGAAAGAGCTTTTCAGTTTTAATTATTTCAGTGTTTTTCATATCAGTTTTTCTTTTTTTGTGTTGAGATTTTCTTTATTAAGGTGTTTTTTGGGCTTCTGATAAATTTACATCTTATGAAAGGTCAGATAACCCTACACATCACAGAGAAATTGTCTTTACTGTGTTCTGCTTTTAGCTTTGGTTTAGCTTTGCAAATCACTGCACTTTCTACATTGATTCATTATGGCAGATGTCATGAAAACCAAAGCTCAACTTACATTTAGAACCATGCATCAGACAAAGACATATAATATCCTGCTTCACCTCAGGTTTTGTACAAAAGTAAACCTGCTTGTGTTAGGGTAAAGGATAAGTCCAGCAGGTGAAAGTTTAACATACCTAATTGTTTAGTTTCCTTTAGTCTGTTCACATTAGTATTGCTAAAATGCTAACAACCTTCTAGGCAAAACAGTAACTTTGAAAGAAGGTTTTTTTAATTCTAATTTATAATAAACATTTGTATGTAATTTGATCTCAAGCTTCAAATACATAAGTCCTTTTTTAAAATGTTGTAACGTCGTTTGTGTAACAAGTTTGTGAGGGCCCATTGCATAGGCACTGCCAGACCTGAACTTGATTTCAGTGGGGAAGGCTGTAGACATAAGAGGAGGCCAGCAATATGCTAGAAAACATTTTTAAGGTTTAATTCCTGAGTTTAGTGTCACTTTAACCTCTTTGTCCTTCTTAACTAATTTACTCTAAACTCCCCCAACCCGGCTACTTACTTACTTACCTCAGTTGCACACTGCTGGCCTTCTCTGATGGTTACAGCCTTCACCACAGAAATTGAGTTCAGTGCTGGTTGTGCCTGTGCAGTGGGCCCTCACAAACCTGTATAGGGTCATACTAAGACACTGCCCTTTGGCTTTATATAAGTCTATGAACACTTACTGTGCAATCATGGCCAGCTCTGAAGAGGATTTCGGACAGAGGTTGTCAGAGAAGGCTGCTACTGGGGTAAGTAAGCAACGGGTTGGGAGTTTTAGTACACAGTAGTTCATGAAGGCAAGGGAGGATGGGTTAGCACTCATTTTGTTAAAGCAGATGTCAAGACAAACTGAAAGAAAACAGATTTAATACATCTCTGGAAAACATACACATGTTCCCTATGTATGATCATTTTATCCATGCTGCAGGTACAGAAAAATATCTGTTGACGTGCCAGAAATATAGTGTGCTCCTATCTAATCCTCTTTGACTTGACAACACAGCTCTGAATTCCGAAATGCTTGGTGTCAGCCCTTCCCACTTATTTGCTGATGGATTACAAAGAACACAGACCTCTTCTCCCTCACCCTCTCCATAACCTCTTCTTCTGCACAGGCAGAGAGTACAGGAAGATATCACAAGATTTCTGACTTAATCTACAGGTATTTTTTGCACTTACACAGATATAACAAAACACTTTTAATGGCATATTTAGTAGACCAAAAGGAGCAAATAAGAGAAGTTCACTGTTAGGGTATACACTTCAAATGATTCAAATTTCTAATGGCAGTAAACAATTTAAAACAACTAAAACGGGTGGAGGAATTGACCCTATTTGTGCCATTATGAATATTCATAAGGCTATTTTAGAAGCTAATTTTTTTCCCTCTCCAGTTTTAGCACCCTGATAATTCTAAACTGTACCAGAAATTATGCACTCATGTCTTCCCGCTAAACTCAGACTCAAAGGAGCACTGGCATACAAAACATACCAATCCATTTTTCTAAATATGACTGCAATTGGCTAAGCCAGTAAACTCATTTTGAAGTGGCCAATTCATATTTACTTATTATGCTGATTCATTCTAAGAATCTCACAAGAGCCCAAATCAATCCACAAACACAGTCAGATACAGCTGCCCTTTGGCAAATGGCCAGGCTGACCAGTACTAAGCCTGATGTCAACTGTCAATCTGCAGTAATTAAAGAACATATAGAAACAAGACATCTTGCAGGAACAGTTATGTGCTCCCCCATCAGCTGTTTCTTTGAACTAAAGACAAAGGACAGCTATATTCATTCACTCCTCAGAGAGTCTAATTTCCTCAACAAAGATGTAAAATGAAGATGTAAATAAATAAAACAATGTGCAATTATCCCATGATGCTGGTGTCAAGAGCAGTCGCATGAACTGCTTTGGCTGTAGCTACTTCTCTGCCCAATCTACATAGTAGATTAGATGATGGTTGTCAAGTATTAGTGATTTTAATACATTTCTTTGTTTGAACAGATTGGAAATGTTATATTTTTCAGTATAAATAAAATATCTGTATTGTATATCTGGAGAACAAAAGTCCTTGGCTGGTCAGATTTATTTCTAAGAGTGGCTATAAATGCCCTGCTATCATTCTGACACTTGCTACAACACTTTGGCAAGGATCAGATGTTATAGACTACCTTAGGGAGCAATAACAAGTATGTCTGACCATGGAAACAGCGTGTTATTGTTAACAGAGATTTTACAACCTGGAACCTGGTTTATCCTTCCCTTTTCTCACTAATTTCTCAATAGCATGTGTTTTGTATAGAAACACCAGATCACTCCCCACCTTTAATTTTTGAGGAGACAAAGTCAGTCACTAAAATCTCAAATAAGCTTTAACATGATCATACAGGATATACTGTATATGGTGCCAACAGTTTAAGCAGCAATTTATAGTATACATGAAAATCATACAGTTGCAACACAAATCAAGACAAAGGGGTTAGGAGGGCCCTGCTAATGAGAGCTTACAACATATAAGCGAGGGGCAATTGATACAAAAATGTAATAGCTCTGTGTGGTTTCATTGACAGAGAAGGAAAAAGTTCAATTGTGAGGTTGAGCTGTGGTAGGCATCCCTATAGAGATGGATTTTCAGGGATCACCTAAAGGTGAATAGAGTAGGAGATAGCCAGATAGATTAAGGCAGGGTATTCCAGAGGATGGAAGAAGCTCTGATGAAGTCCTAGAGGAAAACTTGAATGGAGATGACAAGAGAGCTCGAGAGCTCGAGATCAGGGGGTCTTGGGAGGACAGTTTGGGAGATATTTTGACATGAAGTTGGTGATTTAGCTTGGGGCAGAGTTGTGAATGACTTGCATGTTGTATTAGTATTTTATTGTTGTGTTAGTGGATTTTATTAATATGGAAAGCAACAGCCAATGGAGGAATAGCTAGAGGGGTGGTGGACACTGCAGGGGTGGAAAGGTGAATGAGTCTG